GGAGGGAAGGTTTAAGTTGGACATCAGGAGGCGCTACTTCACGGTCAGGGCGGCTAGGGTCTGGAACCAGCTTCCAAGTGAGGTGGTGCAGGCTCCCACCCTGGGGGTTTTTAAGAGGAGGTTGGATGACCACCTTACTGGGGTCGTTTGACCCCAGTACTCTTTCCTGCCATGGCAGGGGGTCGGACTAGATGGTCTGCTCAGGTCCCTTCCAACCCTAGAAACTATGAAACTATGATTTAAGTTTATGTATGCATGACTTCACTCTTGGCCACCTTCTGATTGAATTAATGAAACAGCTGAATTTAAAATTAAAACAAAATGTCCTATTTTGTTTTTGTGCATTTAATTAAAATAACTTAATAGAAAGAAGACAAGTCTAAGATTGTCAAGCACTGAATTGTCATATTCTAGAATTATAGAATATTGCATCTCTATTTATTTCTCAAAGAATTTATTTCTCAATAAAAAAACAATTAAAACAAACCTGATTCTTTCAGAAATTGCTTAATATCTTCTTTTAGTGATTCAAGTTTAATTTCTGGCTTGTGTAGACTAACCTAACAAAGAAGAACAAAAGCAAAGAGGCAAATAAGCATTTATAATTGTTAGTACAAAACATGCTTAGTAGTACACACACAGAAACAGATCCACAAGAGAAGGCAATTGTAACTGTTTCAAGAATCCTTTCCATATATTTTATAGATTTAAGGCAAATAAAATCTCAGCCATAGCTCTGAATTTAAATGGTAATGAGAGACCCTGTATTACATTTAGCGCATTAATTGTGAACTCGGATACAATAAAAAGGAAAAAAATGAATAAGGAGACTCACAAGCACTGAAAATACGAAGGAAAAAATGAGATTTCACCTTTGGAAATGGAACAGCTTAAGGTATAATATCTTCAATGGCAATTTCATGAAAGTATAACTTCCAAACAGAAAAAAAGAAGTTAGAACAGGCCCTTGTCCTGCTAAACAGACTGTTAGGAGCAAGTGCAGCCTTCTACCAGGGCTGGTCTGAGCTTATAAGTTTAACTCCAGGCACCGTAAATTAAACCAGTACAACCCACCAGTCTTAAGGATGTGTAACAAGTACTAGCGCTGTGTGAAATGGGTGCATTTTGATTCAGTTTCGGATTTGGCTGTTTCGAAGGACAGTGATTAGTTTTGGTGTTTCAGATCACTGCCCTGTTTCATTTCAGCTGAATCTCCTTTGAATCTGTTTCAAACGGGCTGCAAGGGAAGCTTCGCACAGCCCTACTGCTCAGCTGGGAGGGGCTTGGGGCTGGGGGCTGCAGGGCCCCAGTGGGGAGCAGGAAAGAGCCAGGGGTGACTTGTCTGGAGGAGGAAAGCTGCTGTCCTCTGTGGAGACGAAGAGACCCTCACGCAGATCTCTGATCCCCATCACACTGGGTTGTGGGGCAGAGAAGCACCACAGAGCAGGGAGCAAGCCTTCTGATCCCTGCCGTGTGACTTGGTTCCACAGGGAGCAGAGATACAGGGCTGCACAGGGCGGGCAGCAGCGAGGAGACCTCAGTGCAGATTTCTGCTCCCTGCAGAGCCAGGTCATACGGTAGGGATTGCCCAGCACCTGATATGATTCCTCAGCCACCGGTTTAATTCCCCCAGCTCTTCCCAGGGAGGCACAGGCCAGGTTTCAGCAGGCTGCCACTGCAGGCTGGGGCCAGTGGCAGCACCACAGTCTTCCTGGCATGGACTGCACCAAGCAGCTGCCACTAACCCCTGCCTGCAGCAGCAGCCTGCTGAAACCCCGTGCGCAGATTGGGGGCCCATATCCCCCAGGAAGACCTGAGAAACTGATCACAGAGCTGGATGAAGCGATCAGAGAGCTGGGGAATCGAATCAGGAGCTAGATGTCAATATCAGAGCACTCCTTCCTTCTCCCCCCACTTCTTAGTTTTTAGTTCCCTGCAAACCCACCTCCAAAAATCTGAAATTCTCCAAAACACTTCTGGAACGTTTCGGAGCCTTCTGATTTGTTTCAGAGCTGTTTCAGAGCCTTCCATTTTGATTTGGATTCGGTGTCTCAAGTGCCAAAACGGCCCAACACCTCCAAAATGAAACAGCTGCCGAAATTTCATACAGCCCTAACAGGTACTGCCTCCAGGGGCAGCCATGAATCCCCTGGAGTCTCTGCAGCCCTTACTCTCTGTGGTCAATCACCCCTTCTGTTGCCCACCATGCTTGATGACAATTGTTATTATTTAAAGGAGGCTGCTCCACGGCTTCCCAGGTGCCTGGGCTTATATCCTCCATAAGCTCAGCCCTCCTTCTGAGACAGATGTCTGCAATCAGCTCAGACCACACCTGCAGGCTGCTGCAGCCATAGCCTGTCTGCTCTTAAAGTGGGAGGAACACCAAGCCTCCTGTCACAGGATGAAATAGGCCTCAAACTAAGCCTAGCTCATACCATCTTGAACTTAAAAGCTAGAGCCAAGCCCTATCCAAATTACCATATTTACTCAAATATAAGACAACCCTAAGTATAAGCTATCCCTCTGTAATTAGATATTATATATGAAAAACTTATAAATTTGATATAAGTTTCCAGATATAGAATCTAATTATTGGAGGTTTTATCTTGAATTTGTCCCCCTCCCACTGCTACAACAGGGAGGATAAATCTGGGGGGTCAGATAACCCCTCTGCCCCCCAGTCACTGGTAGGTGTTGTAGGGTCTTGGCGCCCTCTTTGTGGGTACCTTGCCCCCCAGCAACATCAGGGTGAGACCCAGTCTTGGTGCTGCCTAGATGGTCCGGGCACTGTCCCTTCTCTCCTGCCACGTCTTTGATGTTGTTGTTGAGGAGGCAGTTGCCTGTTGGCGACCCGAGGGGGGGGTGTCTCGTCTTTGGGGTGTCTTTGTGGGGCTCCAAATCTCCCCTTTACCCCACCCTTACCACATTCTCAGCCTGGGTAGACACTGCTCTGCGGAGGTCTCCTGCCTTGGAAAGAACGGGCCTTACTGGCCGTCAATCTTCAGGGGTCCGCCCCTTATCTCTGGGTCGGCTTCCCCTCTTCGGGAGAACTAAACTTGCCCCACCCACGGCCAATGGTAACTTAACTGAACGTCTGGCTCATGCCGGCAGAGCTCCCGAGATTCCCTCTCTCAGGGCCCTTGATCCTCTGGGGATACTCATTCGACCTCTTCCCTCCTAGTAGACATGGGTACAGGCAATCGTCCTGTGCTCAGCCTCTACCCAGTCCCTTCCCTCCTCCTTACTGTCATTCCCTGCTCTCCCTGAGCACATACAAGTGAGGAACACATTTGAAACCACCAACCTTGAAATAAACATAGCTCTAGCAATTTGCATATAATACCCAGAGACTCAGTTCACCCAGAATTGATGTAGTTTACCTGTTTTGAAACTGCTGCAAGTTTTGGCACAGGTATTCCATAAACACACTTCTAAGCAGCACTTAGAGAGTACCTGCTTAAACAGCACTTTTAAGTACCTACTTGGAGAGTACAAGTTTTTTTACCTGAAAAATATGTCATAAATTCACACACACATACACCCCTACCTATATCTCTACAGACCTGCCTTGTGACCACTATGATTAACTTGACAGTCCAGCACTCACCTTTACTGTTATATCATTCTCATCCCTGTTACAATGACCATACCATGCTCCCACATGCCCATGTGTCCATATGCCTGTTATCACTTTCAGCCATCAGAATCATGCAAAGGCCTGCCTCCGCAATACCTTCCATCCTCCCTCCCCCTACCTCCTTCCCAGCTCCCCTTCCTGATTTCCCAGTCCTTTCACTCAGCATTATAATCATCACCACTGTCTTGGTCATCTCTATTGTCAACATCATATCACTGGCCAATTGTTTTATAAGGACAAAAATAATAGCCGCTCTGAAACACATGGCAGAAAGAGCTATGGTTGGGACAGGCACACAAAATATTGTGGGTATCATCTGCCTGTAATAAGAAACATCATCCCCAAAATAACAAATACATTTCAGGGACATGGATAATTAGCTAGGGAAATGCTAGAAGCCTTGGGCAGGAACCAAGTTTCTGGAGGATTTGTAGACTCACCAGGAAATAAAACAATGCTGGGGCAGGGAATGTTGACTTTAAGGTATTTAAGAGGTATCTGTCAGGTAGTGGTGGTCTAGGGATTTTCCCATACTTTGGAGGACTCCTAGTCCTCAGGGGTCAGGGCTGACAGACCTGCCAGGAAGGCTGATGTCTGGGAATTCTGACAGGACTCTCTGAAGGACTCTGCTGTAGTCAGGAATGAGGATGAGAAATGTTATCTGTTTAGTTTTTTCCATACTCTTTCCTCAAACTATCTGGTCAACTTTTCATATGTCACAATTCGGCCTCCCCAGCGATGGCCAAGATATCCCTAGGGCACCATGACCATGCCAGCTCCGCCCTATGGGCACCTACTAATTTTGCCTGTCACACCTTGCTGGTATAAATGATGAATTAGGAGGCTGCCCTCAAGTTGTTGCTTAGTCACAGTCCTGAGAAATTCTTATAAACCCTGTGGGTCGTTGGACCCCTTTATTCGGTCCCATAGTCAGGAGGTGCCTTACAACATGCCCAAGCCTTATGGGCTAGATGCACAACTCCAAAACCACCCTTTTATTATGCCCCATGCCTCACAGATGGTATGTAGATGTTGTCTTCTTGTGTTGAGGCTCCAGTTTAATCTGGCCTCAGTCACTGCGCCCCCTGGCGCTGGGGTCTGCTCACCCCCCCCCATCACTTTTCCCCCTGGCACTGGGGTCTCCACACTGTAGTGTGCCCCAATGAGGCCTCCTCCTCCCCAATCATCTCAGTCCAGTCCACCGGTTTAGCTAACAACAAAAAGCACAAGACCCTGGGCTACAACACAGGAATAACATAGGGTCCACACTCTATCCCTTCTAAGGTGGCAAGCTTCTCTCTCAATTTAATGGGCATCCTCCCCACCAACACTTGTGAGCTCCTATACCCCCTTAATCCTACCATAATCAGAACAGGCAGTCAAGCATCTCCAAGTAGCCCCCTCTATGAAAGCTCCTTCCCGCTTGGTTGCTGCCAGAGAACACTAGTCCCAGCCCTGAGGTTTATATATGCCCAGGACCCTGACAGTTTCTGCCCTTAAAGGAGCAGGTACCTTAGTGCCTGTGACAATATACAATTCTTTTCTTCTATATAAATACTTTTGCTGTTCTGTTGCCTTACTAATTGCCTATGATAAAGTATGGTCTCAGAGAGAATGGTTTCTAGGCAAGCCCCTTCTATGCAGGGGAACAGACACCAATCTTTCCACAACCCAAAAAGACGCCCTGGAACTGACAAAGATTTCTCTGCTAAAGCTGTGGGGTAGCTGCAAGGCCTGGTAAAAAGGAAGTGAAATGGAGCTTGCAGGGACAAGGAGCTGTCCCCAGACAAATCTTTGCTCCTTGAAATGAGCAGTGGGACAATGGGGAGAAATGTGGGGCCTAGGGGTGCCCCACAGAAGGCCTTGTGACCCTGCTAATGCATACTGAAAGTCTTACAAGGTCCTCAGGAAGTATTTGACAGC